ATAGCATCATGTGTTTTCAATATCTCTTTAGCCATTTCTGGAGATGATGCTACCAAAATAGGCTTCGAACCGAATTTTAGTAGCATTAAATCTCCATATTTTTGAGAAAGATGGTGAAAAGACACATGTGGGAGTGAACCAAGGAGGTTCAAATTGCCAATAATTGGCCATGGGTTTGGACCTGGTGGTACTTTCCTTTTCGGATGGTTGAATATTTTTAAGACAAAAGCTAATGCCAGTAGCCATGACCCAAACACTATGAAAACCCAAGAGATCTCCATATCTGATAATTCAAGAACACTAGAGAAATATTTATAGGGCAGCCTACCACTATATATTAATTAAGTATTATATAAAAATAAAGAGTTTACATTGTGTAAAACTCTTTTAAGTCACTTTGAAAAGTAAATTTTTTTTCTAAAGGCTAATAAGTACTATTAACTATGAGTTGCTCATTAGAGAAGAAATGATATGAATTGGAGAAAAATTGATAGTTTTCATGAATTATGATTCTTTTTTTTTGTTTTTGCCATTTTGGAATTGATAGTCCTAAATAGTAAGTCCCTTTTTTCTTTGTGGAAGATAATATTTGGACGATTACAAATTCAATTTTGTTTTGCCTTGCTTTCAATTGTAAGATAAGCACCAATGCTTAATCTTATCTCTATGAATTTAATAAGTCACCTTTAAACTTTTCCATGGAAGCGGGGCCACATGTTTCGTAGCATAGGTAAGCATCCACGAGACGTGTTGTGGTGCATCAAACTAGAATAGCCTTTAAAACGATCCAAAACAAAAATGATTAGTTGTATCAAATAATAAATCACTTTCTCCGCCATTTTGGTAATAAAACATAAACAACTCAATATATATTCATAAAATATAATTAAATTAATATTCTGATATGAAAATGGAAGAATAAATCTGATAAATTAAAATATTGATATAAAAATTATCAAACTACACAACAATGGTGAGCATCTAATCAAAGAACAACAGAGAAGCCATAATTGGCAATTGAGAGAAGCAGTTTGCAGAATCTGAGATTTGAGAAAATGTGAACTCACACTTTGTGTATTGATCGATACAAGTATTTATACACAAGAATGTAATGTTGACAGCTGTATCCAACTAAGCAAAAGTAGAAGATAAGAAAAGAAAATATCCTAACTAACTTTCTGATTCCCTAACCAACTTGATGTGAAAGCCTAACTAACAATCTAACTAATTGACTAGCTAACGGTAATTAACACTAATTACAACTAATTACAATGCATAATTAGATTGTTAATACCCCTCCTCAAGTTGGTAGTGATGATCTCACAGCCAACTTGCCAAGGACTGCTGAATGTTTGACACCAGTAAGTGCCTTTGTAAGGATGTCTGCTAGCTGCTCAGTAGTGGAAATGTGATGAAGGGAGATGAGCCCCTCCTGAAGTTTATTGCGTACAAAATGACAATCAACTTCGATGTGTTTGGTCCTTTCATGAAAGACAGGGTTGTGAGCTATATGAATAGCAGACTGGCTATCACAAAAGACAGGGATTGGAGAAGGATCAGATATAGTCAACTCAGTAATCAACCTGTGAAGCCAAACCAATTCACCTACAACTTTTTTGAGTGATTTGTATTCTGCTTCTACAAAGGATAGAGAGATGGTTTCTTGTTTCTTTGATTTCCAGCTGATTGGGCTATTTCCAAGTAGAACCAAGTAGCCACTGACTGATCTTCTTGAATCTGGGCAGGATGCCCAGTCTGAGTCACAGTATGCCTTAATTGAGCAATCAGGATCTCTGGATAGATGAAGACCCAAGGTTGGATCTTGTTTCAAGTATCTAAGAAGATGAAAAATTGCTTGAAGGTGTGGAGTTCTGGGGTCCTGCATGAATTGGCTCAAGTGTTGAACACTAAAGGCTATGTCCAATCTAGTGTTGGTAAGAAAATTCAATTTTCCCACTAGTTTTCTATAATATGTGGGATCAGGGAGTGGAGTTCCCTCTTTGGCTCTGAGCTTGACAGTTGGATCAAGAGGAGAAGAAAGTGAGCTATAATTGAAACAGTCATATTCCTTTAATAGATCCAACACAAATTTCCTTTGAGAGACAAGAACCCCTCCTGGTATGTCAAGTATTTCTAACCCCAGAAAGTAATGTAATCGACCAAGATCTTTGATTTTAAATGTACTGTCCAAGTAGGCCTTGAGATGTGTGATTTCAGTGATGTCTGTACCAATGAAGATAACATCATCAACATAGACTGCAACAAAAACTACTAAGGAACCAGACTTTTTGCAGAAAAAAGAATAATCATGATGTGAATGGACATATCCTCTGAGTGATAAAGCTTCAGTCAACTTGGCATACCACTATCGACTAGCTTGTTTAAGTCCATAAAGAGACTTATTGAGCTTGCATACCAACCCTAAGTCATCTACAGCAAGCCCTTGTGGTAGTTTCATGTAGACTTCTTCATGGAGATCACCATGAAGGAATGCATTATTCATATCAAGTTGAAACATATCCCAACCTTTCTTGACAGCACATGCAATCAGAGTCCTCACAGTGGTCATCTTGACTACTGGGGAGTAAGTTTCTGTGTAATCTACACCAGCTTGTTGAGTGTACCCCTTAACCACTAGTCTGGCCTTAACCCTTTCAATACTGCCATCGGATTTGTGCTTCACTTTGTACACCCACCTACAATCAATTGCTTGCTTTCCTGCAGGTAATCTCACAAGATCCCAAGTATTATTCGCATAGAGTGCATCAAATTCTTGTATCATGGCCTTTTTCCAAGCAGGACTTAATGTTGCCTCCTCATAAGATGAAGGTTCACTATCATGACAAATGTTTTCAACCACTGCTTGACTAGTGGAGGCAATGACATTAGGAGGAATGTGGTGGTGTTTAGTGAACAAGTTAGTGAGAGAAAGAGCACTGGAAAGAGATTGTGTGGGAGCAGGGGTCTTTAAAGTAGGGATAGAAAAAATGTAATCCTTCAAGTGTGAAGGGAGCTTATTCTCTCTTTGTGATCTCCTCTGCAGTACTGCAGGAGGAGAGGGCAGTGTGGGAGTAGGCTGATTGTGAGAGGGGGAATGAGGATGGTGTGACACATTTGAGTTAGTAGTAATCATATCTGTGTGTTGATTTAACAAAGTATTATCAGGTATTGATTCAATACAATCAGAGAAATCAGTTGAAGAAATTGTTCTAAGAACGAAAGGAAAAATGCATTTTTCTAAAGTCAAAGTAAAAGGAAATATATTCTCATGAAATACTACATCCCTAGACACATGTATTCTTTTTATTGAAAGATTCATCACGTTATATCCTTTTGTTCAGAAGGGGTAACCTACAAATATGTGAGGAGTGGTTCTGGGTTGAAGTTTGTCCCTCTGAACTTTGGGTAATGTGGGATAGCATAAACACCCAAATGATCGTAGCTGACTGTATGTTGCCTTTTTCTTATATAGGACTTCATAAGGGCATTTATTTTTTAGGTAGGTTGAAGGGAGTCTGTTTATGAGATGTGTTGATGTAAGTATGCATTCACCCCAGTATTTCATGGGAAGTTTTGATTGAAATAGGAGAGCTCTTGCTGTTTCCAGCAAGTACTTATGCTTCCTTTCCACTATGTTATTTTGCTGGGGTGTATAGGGACAACTCCTTTGATGTATTATACCTTTGGTTTGAAAAAAAAAATTGTTTCAGTGTTATTAAACTCCAGCCCATTGTCTGTCCTGACACTTTTAATTGTGGTTTGGAACTGATTTTCTGCCATACTTACAAAGTTTTTAGGAACCTGTAAGGCATTACTTTTGGTGCTCAATAAGTGAGTCCAAGTAGACCTACTATAGTCATCTACCATGGTGATGAAATATTTGTAATTGTCATGTGTGGGTATGTGGTAAGGACCCCAGAGGTCAACATGGAGAAGTTCAAAAATGGTATTAGAATGTGTGGTACTTTGACTAAAAGGTAGTCTTTCTTGTCTTGCCATGGGGCAAATGGTACACATAAAGGGCTGTTTAGCAGAAAAACTAGCTGGAATTGTAAGTATGTTTTTCATCTTTGCAAAAGGCATATGGCCAAGTCTATTGTGCCACAACAAGTCTACAGTATGTTTAGTAGAAGTAGTGGAAGAGTTATTGTCTTTAAACACATTTTGATCATTATCAGAAGTGGAAGAACATATAAAAGTATCAGTACATTTATTTGCAAAGCAAGGATAACATTCAACAGAAATGTTCTTATCATTTGAAACTTTACTACTAAGACTAGAAAAAGAAGGACTGTGGCTGTTGTGGGGTATATAGCAACAGGTGGAGGATTTAACATTGTTATTCAAACATCCTGAACAAAGGAAATAAAGCCCTTCTCTGCTATTACCAAGCACCTGAGGCCTCTTCACTGAAGAGGCCTGTAACAAACAAGATGCACTAGTGAACAAAACTATGCAATTCATGAAAAAAGTCAAGGAATGAACTGAAATTAGATTGTATTTAAAAGAAGGCACATATAATACTTTGTGTAAAACAATCTGAAATTTCAGATGTGATCACTGCATCACCAAATTCTGTCAATCTAACTTTATATCCATTAGGCAAAGAAACAAGCATAGGGTAAGGCATGGTTTGGATGTTGGTTTGAGGATCTGTTAAAGGTTATATGGTTTGATGCCCCCGAGTCAATGATCCACAAGTCAGCACTTGATTTAAAACATTCACATGAAGATTTGCCAAAATCTACAGAGGAAGAACATACTACAATACCTGCAAAGTTCACAGAACCAGCAGCTGTATTCGAGTTAGTTGAGTCCTCTCCCTCGACTCGAAAATGCTGCAGAAGATTCATGATATGAGCATATTGATCCTTAGTAAGTGTGGCATTTTGATTGTGATTGCCCTGTGGACAGTCTTCTCCCTGAGTAGGCATCATGTCATCAGGAGATCCATGCACATTAGCCACAACTCTTTTTCCCTTATATTCATGATTGTTGTTCTATCTAGCATGAAATCCATTGTTCCTGTTAGCCTGGTTGTTGTGTCCTTGTGGATATCCATTTAACTTGTAGCATTTCTCCCTGATATATCCCGTCTTTTTGCAGAAATCACAAAACATAGCATTCCTATTACTACTGCTGCCTGAGTAATAATTGGATCCTCCATAGTTATTGTTATTTCCTGAGGTACTGTTACTTCCAGAATAGTTGTTGTTGGAGAATGATGTCTTGTAGTTCCTTCCTGCTGGTCCCTTTTCATTACAATTGGAAGTATTTACACTCAAAGAAGCTGACTCCATAGGAATTAGACTAGAAGGTCTAAATTCTCTCTGTTTCTCCTCTTGGATCAGTAAAGAGAAAGCCTACGCCATGGATGGAAGAGGATTCATCATAAGAATGTTTCCTCTTACCACAGTGTATGCCTCATTCATCCCCATCAAAAACTGTACCAAACGTCTATCATGTTCTGCTCTGTGTAGCCCATCCTTGGCTCCACAAGTGTAAGTGCAAGAGCACTGATTTCTCATATTCAGAGTATTCAATTCTTCCCAAAGCTTTTTGATTCTAGTGTAATAGACAGTGATGTCCAAATTACCTTGTGTGAGATCATTAATTTCCCTCTGTATCTGATATAACTTTGCTCCATTAGTCTGATCATACCTATCTTCAAGTTCTTTCCAAAGTTCCACTGAATCATTAACATATTCCACACTATCTGAAATCTCCTTAGTGAGGGAATTTAAGATCCAGGAAGTTACCATATCATCACATAGTTGCCATTGACGTGACTGAGGTGAATTCACAGTTGGTTTAACACAGCTACCATTGATGAACCCGAGCTTGTTCTTCACTGACAAAGCTCGCATGACTCCTCTTCTCCAGGATCAATATCCTGTGCCATCGAATTGAACTGGAACTAGTACCATTCCAGGGCTATCGGAGGGATACACATAGAGAGCACTGCTCGCATCACCACCAGTAGAAGTTCCCTCTGTTGAAGGAATATTTTCAGCACTTGTCATGGTAAAGGATCAACTAGGAAGATGAACGAAAAATTCAGGTCGAAAGAGACGAGAGCAAGCTAGGCTCTGATACCATATCAAACTACACAACAATGGTGAGCATCTAATCAAAGAACAACAGAGAAGCCATAATTGGCAATTGAGAGAAGCAGTTTGCAGAATCTGAGATTTGAGAAAATGTGAACTCACACTTTGTGTATTGATCGATACAAGTATTTATACACAAGAATGTAATGTTGACAGCTGTATCCAACTAAGCAAAAGTAGAAGATAAGAAAATATCCTAACTAACTTTCTGATTCCCTAACCAACTTGATGTGACAGCCTAACTAACAATCTAACTAATTGACTAGCTAACGGTAATTAATACTAATTACAACTAATTACAATGCATAATTAAATTGTTAATAAATCATGAGAGATGTTAGCTTAGCATCTTACCACTTCATGCTTCTAGCAGGGGTTTGAATAGTATTTGCTTTAAATTGTAAAATAAAGAGAATTTGAAATCAAATTTGCCACATTATTAATTCACTTTGAAAAGTAGAAAATTCACCTAAGGTGATAATTAAAATGAATTAAGAAAAGTCAAATAAAACTTTTTAAAAATAAAATAATTAAAGTTATCCTTGATGGTCAATTGCTACTAATTGAATGACTATTAAGGCAAAACTCACCTTGACAAGCAATAGGAGAAAAAAACTTTGGCTAGATTTGCCTAAATTATTTGTTAACTTTCTCTTATAATCAATTGCTTAAAGAGTTAACAAGTCCCGACAAGTAATTAAAAAAAAACTTTTACTTGCAGACAAGCAATAAACACTCTAATTTAATTTCAAGACTTATCCTCTTAAAAATGGATCGGTGTATCGATAATAGGGTGACTTATGTTTTAATTTGATTCAGATTTTAGATTGACGTTTTACTTTTTTTTTTTTAAAATGACATTTTTCATTAATAATCTTTACAAAAAATACAAAATCCTGCTAAATTGATCAATAAAGTGAAAAAAAAAAAGATGAATGGGTCGGTGCATCAAATTTAGGGTGGCTTGTGTTTATATTTGATCCATGTTCTAAAATAGTATTTGGACCATTTTTAAAAAATTAAACTTCGTCACCTCAATAGTTCTTTTTGAAAAATACAAAATTCCGCTAATTAAGATTACCTCTAAAGTAAATTATAAGATAAAGTCTGAGTGGTCATTAACGGAAGAAAAACTGTGGCTAGATTAAGTTATTTGCTAAAATCTTCCTATAATCAATTTCTTGAAGAGTTCAATAAGTCCTGACAAGCACCTAAAAATAACTTTTTCTAACCGACAATTAATAAATACTCTAATTTTAAGATTCATCCTGTTAAAATGGAATGATTTGAACGCTTGAGCTTCTTTTAATTTTGGAATAAAAAATATATTGATCAGTGGGATGATGTGTTCTTAATATGATTCTATGTTCTAAATTAGTATTTTTGATTATTTTCTTAAATCAGATTTGTCACTTCTCTTTGAAAAATAAAAAAATCAGCTTATCATTGAATTGAGAGCCTGCTAAAAACTGCTCATTTCTAGAAATACTTTTTAAAAATAGTTTTTCTGAAAAGTGGTTTTTCTTTAAAAACAAATAGTGTGTGTTTGGCTAATTCATTTTTAAAATATTTTTGATAAGCAATTGGTGTTTGACAATTTTTATAAAAAAAGTATGTTTAAGAGTTAAATTACGAAAAAGGACAAGTATCAATGTGCTTTTAAGATTATTTTATAGAGAAAAACTATTTTAAATATCTAATACATATCTTTAATTAAATTTTTATTTTAATTAAATTAAAATGTACATATTCAAATTATTAATCAATATTATACATAGATAATTAAATAAATAAAATATCAATATAATGTTAACATGAAGAATTAAATATAATTAAAAATATCAAGCAAATTAAATTTAAAATTATTATTATTGCTTATTTCTAATAATACGTAAAATAATACATAAAATATAAATAATAATATATAAACATAAATAAAATAAAAAATTTATCATATAAAAATAAAAAATAAAATTCTTGAATGAAACTTAACAAAACTTATGAAATATGTTAATTAATTAATAAGAAATATATTAGTAAATATGTAAATATGTGAGATATTTCAGTCTTCAAAAAAATAATTTTCTGCTTTTTTTAAGAAGCATAAATTTTTCGCTTCATCCCAACAATAGAAAAATTCTTTCTGCTCCTATAGCACTTTTGATGGTTTGCCACACACCTGATTTTTCAAAAAAAAAAAAAAATTTGACTTCCAACAGCAATGTCAAACCGGCTCTGAGTTAGAGAAGTAAGATAATTTTGAAAGACAAAATAAAGTCATTCTTGATGGTCAATTACCACAAATTGAGTGACCAATAAGGCAATCAACTCGCCTTGATAAGCACTTTGGCTAAATCAAGTTACACTTGTTGAATCACTCCTACAACCAATTGATTAAAGAGTTCAAAAGGCATCAAAAAAATTATAGAGGATATTCGTAAACTTAAATAGCGGAGCAAATCACACGACTCTATGATATTTTGTTTTGAAAACAAATGCAAAGAACAGTTGAGAGGAGAGAAAGAATTCGATTTTAGTGTTCCGGTGTCTCAATTCCAAGGCAAGGCCTATAAATTTATAGACAATAAAAGAGCAAGATGGAAAAATGCAATTTAGATTCATTTTCTCAATTCTCATTCTCACCTTAAAATCCTAACAAAAACATATAAATTATCATTCAACCATGAAACACAAGCGTGATATTATTACCATCAAATATTAAGCCATCGTAATCATTTAAAATAGAAGGATGATAAATAATACACAACGCATGAATGTTACAAGATAAAATCAGACACCACACATGAATGTAAGAAATAAGGTAGAGTTAGGTAATTAAATTGGGATTCATTGTATTTATATAAGCACTATTCATAGGATCTAAACATATCTTTATTGAAAAATGAAAAAAAAAAGAAGAGAGTCTCATATTAGTAGTAAATGAGATGGGTGGTCTTCCTATACGGTTTGATAATATTTTTCTCTTTGAACTAATTTTTGAGGTGTGAATGACGCTCAAGACCTTGGGTACGTTTGCTCTCTATTCTGAACGTCAATCAAATCATTTGCCAAAGTCAAAGTCAAGTCTTGGGTTGCTCTCTATTCCGAACGTTAAGCAAATCATTTGTCAAAGCCAAAGCCGAGCAACGACAACAGTGCGAGGGGCATACTCTACTTAATTCCTTAAGAGGTAAATAAAGTGTTCCCTAATATAAGGACAAAAATTTTGCTTTCTTTAATTTACCAATGAGGAGAAATGACTTTTCATTTTCCCTTCACTTAGAAATTCTCATTTTTCCAATTCACACGTTACTCAAACCGAACAAAATACTCTCTAATAGAAATGACTCATGTCCAAAATTAGAAACCAAGGTCTCTAATTAAAAACAATATAGACTTTTTAAGATTTAACCAGGGTTAAATCATATATACATTTCAATTTAATTTGTTGATTCTTGAGGTGACTTGTTAGTTGGGGCGTCTATAAAAAGAAAACAGTAAATGGTTAAGACTCAAAGCATCTAGCTACAAATATGGCTTCTTTGCACAAATTGATCCAATTTCAATTTCCCCTGTTCTGCTCTGTCCTCTTAGTATCTCCTCTATATTCAACTGCTGCTCCACTTTCAAAACCCAATAATGCGATAGCACTTGTTAACAAAGTTTGCTCAGACATGAAAGACAAATCGTCATGCATAAATTACCTCAAAAGCAATCCTAAGGTAATGGCAGCTGCAGCAACATCAAAACCCTTAGAATTTGCACTTGTCATTCTTCAGTCAGCAGTGGACCAATCAAAAAATACACATACATATCTATCGAAACACAAGAGAGGAAAACTCAGTCCACAACAAGCTACTGAGGCTTATGCTCTTTGCAGTGGCTAGTGGATTGGAAGGGAATCTTAAGGTTATTAAAAAGGATAAAGGCTATGCTAGTGATACATCAGATTATGATCTTAAGGTGACTCTCGACAATGCCACAAGTTGTGCAACGCACAAATTCAAGATCTTGAAATAGAAAAAGGATTAAACAATGCGCAGATGGCTGTAGGAGCTGCAGACACCATTCTTGAGGGGCTTAAACCTCCCAGAAAGCTTAATATAAAACTTTGAATTCCCAAATAATTAACTGTATCATCATTTCTATTCAATAATCAAATGAAATTTCCATGCTGGAATAAGAACTAGTATGAAAGATGATCAATTTTCTTCTTCCAAGCCTTTTTAAGAAAGCATTGTTACGACCCAATTTCGAAAACTAAGGTTTCGAAACCATTTTCGCAACTTTGACAAATTTATTGTTGATTTTTGGAAAAATTACAATTTGAAAGTCGTCACTTAATTTTTAGGAAAAATTAAGAAATTGTTTAGAAAGGAAATTTTTTAAGAGAACATTTTAAATAAAACCAGAGTCGGGTAAGGGTTCAAATAATTCTCTAAGGAAGGTTTAGGCATCTTAGAGAATCCGCTAAGATACTTGTGCATTCGTATTAGCCCAAATAAAGAAATAATTCAAATGTTAAAGTGCCAAAATAAAATTTTAACTTAACAATTTATCCGAATCAAGTTTTTGAGTCGAATAATCAACATAATCGCTTAGGCATGGATTTGAAAGCTAAATACTAACTATGAAAGAATATGAATAATTCTCAAGTTAGTCTTGAAGTTTAGATTGTCTAACTTAAAAGAGGTTTTGAAAATTAAAATACTTAAATAAACAAATGACGAAATAGAAGAGCCATTAAAAAACCGCCA